GATTCGTCTCACAAATTAGTCGCAAGTTATGCAATTAGTTTCGTAATTATTCTATATTTAATACTACATGCATGTGTCTAAATATTTGATGTGATAGAAATTTTAGGAGCTCCTGCAGAAACCAAACAGGCGGGCTCTGTTCGTTTCATCGCCGCGCATTGCACATTCGTGTTCTACAGCTACACAATCGATCATGTATGTGTATCCACTTGGAGTGGGGCTCTCTTTTCCACCTTTTGAGCCATTTTTTTTAACCAACTTTTTGTCAACAAATAGTATAATAATAACTTGTCAAGCTAACTGGTTTCTTTTGGAGGAAGACTTATCAAGCTAACTTTTGTCAACAAATAGTATAATAATAACTTGTCAAGCTAACTTGGAGTGGGCCCCGTTTGCATCGCTGAAAAAACAAACAAAAACACTGTTCTGGCTAATTTGTTATGAGAGAAAAATACTGTTCCGACTAAAAAAACAAACTGAAAAGTACGGATTATAAGAGAAGCGAACATAGTTAAGGGCTCGTTCCTTGGTTTCCCTGAAACTGCTCCAGCTGGAATGATAGCTGGAATAATTTCCAGCCTCAATTCAGGCCAAAGGAACGAGGCCTAACTGGGTTCTCTTTGAATAAGACAGAAAGAACCTCAACTGGTTTACAATTATGGATAGCAGTTTAATAACACCTTTGATTTCGACTTCTGGCGCAAGTCCAACAATGGGTCCTTCACGTGACGCCGACGGGCCTCGAGTGGGTGCTGCAGACCAGAACGGCAGGAACAGGACGATGCAGATGAGGATTTGCAAGCGTGGCGTGGACACTACGTTTCCTCGAGGAGGCAAATAGGTTGTTTTTCTCATCTGAGTAGTAGTTTACTGCATTTAGTTAAAGGAGAGCCGGCTAATTTTTTTTATTAGCTGGTTAGTTTATTTTAAGTTGGGGTGTTTTGATCCACTACAACTAATTTTATAGCTAAATTATTTAGTTGTCTGGAATTAAGCATCCCTTAAATACCTTTTCTTCTTACTCCCAGACTCGTCTTGATGGAGCAGTCCACAGATTATTATTCAGATAAACCTGTTACGATTGTGCGTTTCATCATGATGCAAAAGGCCAAACCTAGTATCAGCTTGTTCGCGCCCTGCATGGTTCCTACTCCCGTCAACAGCAAGCTGTATTAATTAATAGGCGTTTGTTCGCAAAAAAAGAATTTAGAAAAAGCAGCACACGTCACTGGACCAAATAGCCGAACAGGATAGTGTTCTCAAGGATAGAGATCTGAGTTCGGTTCGGATACAGCCAGCAATCAGCAATCCAACGAGGCGATGATCACTAATATGGTGCGGATGTTTAGTTACACGCATTTGCATGCAGATACTCAGAACCCTATGCTCACCAAGTTACATATCAATTGCATTTTAAGGCTACTGACTGAATTCGCTTTTAGATATCAAGTTACATATCAATTGCATGCAGATACTACAAAAGAAGAACGTTTGGCCAAATTATGAAGTGGGCATGCCGTATGCTGGGAACAACGGTCATGAAAAATCATAGGTGATTGTCTTTTAATAGACTGAGTGCTGAACTTTTGCTGTTTGAATATGTGTTTTGTGCTCAAAAAATAAATGTTTAGCTTTTTCCTCGTTTTTGTTTTTCAGTCTGAGGCTGAAACTTTAAATTCTATTTGGTTGAGTGCACAGCTCAGCAGAGGCTGAAATAAAGACCATTCCATTTTTTTTCTTTTTTCTTTCTTTTGCGTATCATTGTATTAAGGAGAAGAGTTTAAAGAAACATACAACGTGCTTCTATCAAGCGCCGAAGGAGGTCGACCTAACACAGCCGAAGCTGGACCATCATAGCAAAAGACACCATGTTTCGATATTACATAAAAGGAAACAACCAATATCGACGCAACTTTGTGGTCTAGGTGGCCTTGCGTCTTCGTGGCTGCCTGGACGGTGCCTTTCCAACGGCCGGGAAGAGCACGTCCAGCGTCTCGGCTTCGGACGCAGTCAGGTTGCCGTCGAAGAGCCTGTCAAAGGCCTCCAACTCCGAAGCGGATGGCGCAGATGGACCCCTGGTGTAGCCCATACGCTGCATGATCAGCATCTCACCTTGCTTGGAAGCTAGCACTCGGGAGAGGCTCTGAGCCGCCAACCGCTTGCTCTGCCGGCTTAGCAGGAGGCTGCTTGGGACGCTCGCGAATCAGCGGAGAGTCCCTCTTACGCGTGAAATTATTGATGAAGCTGTCGAGGCGTCGTTTGGCGGAGTCGTCGTTGTCCAAAGCCTGGTGGGTAACCCCTGGTGGTGAACTGGAAGGGCCATCCACCGTGAGGTCGACCGCGTGTGTCTTCGACGAGTCCACTGCCCGCTGAATGGGGTGTGGGGGTGGTGTCCGTAGCACACAAGAGGCTACTGCATCCTCCAGCTGGGGGCCGCCACTGTCGGTGCCTCATCCAGAAGCTGGGGGGTCGCCGAAGTTGACGGGAGGTGCTCAAGGGAAGGCCACGCGACGATCTGACTACCGATGAGTGAGGCTGCGAACTCCTCAACCATGGGGTCCTCTGAGATGTCGTGATCCCACGTGGCGCCCGGGTACAACATGAGTGTCAACGGGTCGGGTTCAACCATGCCCGTCGCGTTGGTCAGCCCACTGTGCCTTGCCTCAGTTCCAACAACAACCGAGGTGAAGTCCGATGCCGTTTGGGCAGCCCCTGTCGACCGCCCGTAACTGTCGGTGGCGACACTCGTTGCCGTAGCGGTGTCGTCCCCCTTCAGTCGGCGCCGACGTCTCCGACGCCTCCGCCGTCTGCGCCCACCACTGTCGCGTGTGGTCGCACCTGGCACAACAGCTGCTGCACCCGGCACAGCCCCAGCCCCGCTCAACGTGTCGCCCTGAGTACGCGGCCAGTTGCCCAAGATACACTCCCGGACAGGGCATCGTTGCCAGCCTTCTGGGGCACCAACTGTGCCAGAGCCAGAAGGAGGCACCTTCCGTCGCTGCTTACAGCCCCACGCGAGGTGTCGGAACCCCTTGCATCAGAGGCAGCGTGGAGGCAGCTTGCAGGTTGCCACCCTGTGCGCGGTGGAGAAATAGTTGAAGCACTTCCCGCGTAGATCCACCGGATAGCGGGTAGGGGCCGTTGGTTCGCCGATGCAGTGCGGGCAGGGCGTGCCCCTCCGGCACCGCTTAATGACCCCTGCGACAAGACCTCACGCCAGCCATTGGCGTTCGGAGCGGAGATGCACTGGCGGGCAGAGCCCCGTCCGTGACATCCGAGGCGCTGTCGGGTGGGGACATGGCCATCCATGGGTCGAGGAGGCAGGCTGTGCACCAGCTGGGGGGCGGCCGTGGCCGGCGAGTCCTACGGTTGTGCCGCCCGTGCACAACACCAGCACCAGCAGCACTATTATGCGCACCTCCTACAACATTGGGTGGTCGGCCCCCCTCAGCTAGGGCAAGCTTGCCCCGCTTAGCAGCAGCGTTGCCGCGAGTGAGGCGCGGCTTGGCACGCTCCAGCAAAGGCGACGTCCGGAGCTGCGACCCCTGGCGGACTGCGTCGAGGTAGGAGGTTGGGGAAGTGACCGGCGACCTCTGCGTCAGAGTCGTCAAGGTCCTCATCCGCCCAACAACGAGCCTTGGAACGCCCCATCGTTCCGTCCCTAGGGTGGAAGGGGGAGGCGAGGGGGGACAGAAAGGACGACGGGCTGGGCGCGGAGGGGTGCACGAGGAAGATGGCAAGCCCCAACGTCGGATGAGGCCGCTTTGGCGAACTGGGCGCCGAGGCGTCCTCGACGAGAACCAGCGACTCGTCCTCCACCAGCCGCGATTCGTGCTGGGCGGCGACTGCGCCCGGCGGCGTTGGGGGGCTGCGCCAGAGATGGCTCCCCCGCTGGGCTGTGGGGAGCTTGTGTCGACGGTGACCGCCCCCGGCGGCGGAGGGGCATGGGTGGTGTCGTCAGCTCTGTAGAGGAAGGAGCGGGCTCCACAAGCGACGTTGGTAGCGCGCGCGGCCTCCCCGCGAACGGCCGTGGTGCCCTTGACCCGCCCAAATAACTTCGGCGTGTTTGTCGGCGCGCGGTGATGATACCGCAGCAGCAGCAGCCTCCAACAGCGTCGAAGGGGGTGGAGTGGGTGGGGTGACGCCGGATCGACCCCCCTAGCGAGGCTACGCGAGCCCGCCTGCTCGACACCCCGTGCGGGGACCCGTTTGGCGCAGGTGGTTGGCCGGCGGTGGATGGGGCGGTGGCGCCGGTGGATGAGGTTCACGCGTGTGGTGGCGTCCGCCGCCCATGTGGCATGCTGGGCGCCGGAGGAGCAGCCGACGACGCGGATGGCGGCGGTGGCCGCAGAAGCACTTTCGAGCGCACCCAGCGTGGGCGAGAGGAGGTGGCGCAGCCGTGGAGGCAAGCCGGCTTAGCCGGCGTCGGCGGTCGTCATGGCGGCGCCCGCCCGAAAGCAAAAGGGCACGGTGGCTCAATGCTGCTGAGGGTGAAGGACCTGGCGTGGACGAAGGTTGAAATTGGTGGTAGGGGGGGAGGGATAGGGTGAGGGGGGGGCGGCGGGCGGCGGCACCAGGTGAAACCCTAACGGGCGCGCTGCGGCCGGAGATGTCGGCGCCCAAGGTGGAATCGTTGTCTCTCCATTCTTTTTTTTTCTAAAAAATATCATTGCACTTGATTAAAAAAATGATCGAAAACGGTACTATTATCATCTTACATGACCAGTAGGCAAAATAAAATACATCTGTACACGATAGCAGCACGATGCACGAACGATTAATTATTAGCAGCTCAATGAACATTCGAGCTGGCATGGCATGGATTATCCAGCAACTAGCAAGCACACTTATATTAGGACCGGCGGTAGCAGCAGTGGCGGTGGTGATGGTGACGAAGGCGGAAGAATTTCCGATCGGACTGCCAGGGCTTCAGGGCAATGCTGTGGAATCAGGAATCAAGTGAGAACGAATGCATCCAAGAATCGCAGTCGCACCAACTACTAGTGTTCTTCGGCTTCCTTATCCCCAAGAAGAAGAACTCCGATGTTGAGGAGCGAGAGCCCGATTAGCAGCAGAGCAAACGCGCAGAAGCAGAGCACCGGGGCCGTCTCCCTGTCCGCCGCCGCCGCCACCACCGTCGCACTGGCAGCAGAGGACGCCAAGAGGTGGCCCGCGAGAGCGAGGTTGCGGCGCAGGCAGCGTACACCCACCCCGGGGAGGCCTGCGGGCGCCGTCGGGTCGTCGGCGACGCGGACGCCGACGAAGATGAGGCTGGCGCCGGCGAGCACCCCGGTGAAGCTGAGAAGCAAGGCGAAGCCGCCGGCGGAGCTGACGCCCGCGCTGACAGCGATCAACGTGAGGACAAGACCGGTGGCCGTCGCCCAGCTGCCCGGAGCGGCCATCGGCGGTGTTGCAGAGTAGTCACTGTGCACCTGCACCTGAACAAGGCAACAGGAAAAAGAAAATTCAAGTTGGCAAGAATCATGAAGCGAGGATGAGGCGGATAGGAAGTAGAGAGTTTGGCAAAGGCCGGGATTCGCAAGGGCATTCCCATCGGTCCGCATGGATCACCGTCGAGGCGTCGACAGGCGCGATGCGATGCGGCGAGATCACGCGCGCAAAATTAAATCTGCAAAATTATTAGAGCCGAAGGGGAAAAAAAACGTTTGCAGTCGGGGAGGCAGCGTTCGTTACCGATGTAGTTGGTGGCCGTGAGGTCGCGTAGCACGAAGCTGACGCCGCCGGCCCTGGGCGCCCTCGCCGGAGGCTGCTCGCTCCGTTCACCGGCACGTGGTTCAAGGTCGCCCTCTGCAGCGGGAGCACGCAGGCAAGCGGGGAGGAAGTGAAGAGCGATCGTGAGCGGGTACGGCTAGGCTCTGGGCGGCAATTCTCGTAGCGCGGAGTGAGGAAGGTTTGGGGGAAGAGAGGAGGGAGGGAGGGAGGAGCAGGAGCAGGAGCAGGCGGCAGGCGGTGGTGACGAGGAGAGGAGACGGGCGGGGATTTTAAAAGGGAAAGAGGGAAGGGACGGAGATAGGCAGATCAATAATAATAAAAAAAAAGAATGGGAGAAGTCAAGTGTGAACACGGGGTATAGTTGGCTTGTTATCCTTGGCTTGTGCCGGTGGCCCCAGCCCCAGGTCCTGGGTAGCGACACGACGCGGTACGCAACCAACAGGTGGCGGGCTGGCGGCGGGGCCGTCCAAGCCATACGGTCGCTGGTGCGGATACCACCTTGTTTTTAAGTACGTACTAATAAATAACAAAAAGAACAAAAACAGAAAAGTCCGGGATCGCGGGGGCCACCACCGGTGTCCGGCACACGGGAAAGCAAACGGACAGGAACAGAATATTCTATCAGAGATTCAGAGGGCCACCCCCACCCGCCCTTCTTGCGCTCCTGACTGACACTGCGACTGCTACCGTCCGTGCACCCGCGCCGCGCCTGCCTGCTCGCAGGTCTGGCACATGTCGTCTGGCTGGAACTGAACTGGAATTTATCTCAGGAATCCGTACCGCATCCATTGTTGATTCTGACTGTGGAGTACTGTACCGTAGGGGTGCGTTTGGTTCATGTTTTTTATCTGGCCTGGCTAGCAAATTTAAGCCGGGATAACTTTAGCCTGACTTGTGCAATACAAGATGCACTTGTTTGGTTGCATTCACTGCCGAAGCCTGGATTAGGATTGACGTGTTTGGTTTCGCTACTTTTCTTGGCATACAATCACAGCATCTTTGAGCCGGTAACGTTACCCCTTACGAAACATTTCGTCGGTGAGCACACAATGGAGGAGGCACTCATCGTCTCATCCGCACCTCGCCGACAGGCACCTGGTGGCGGCAGCCGGCGCCAATGCACGAAAGACGACGCCTCTCCCTTGCTCCGCCTAGCGACCTTGGCACCGTCCCCTCCCGTAGAAGAAAAAGCATCTGAGCACCATGGCCGTGAGTGGGGAGAAGGAGAACGATGGTGGCCACCGAGGAGCCGCCTGTACAAGTGCGTGCGCATCCGCGCTACCGAGATCTGAAGACCGAGAGGAGCGGAAGGAGCACGGCGGTGAGATGAGCGCAAGCCAAGGAAAGAAGAATACAGGGAGCTCGAGCCGCACCGCATCGACCTCCGCCGCTCCGCGTGAGATCTAGCCGAGGGAAGAAGAAGACAGTGGCGTGGCGGGAAGAAGAAGACGCGCGGACGCCGACGAGCTTTTCCGGGGAAGTGGGTGGCCGGGGCGCGGATGCGGAGGAGCTTGCCGCGGAAACGGGTCGCCGGTGGCCGGCGGGGAGCAGCGCAACAACGACGGCCGGTGGGGAGCGGCCCGAGCATGGAGGAGCCGCGGCGCGCGTCCGTGCGAGAGCGAGGAGGAAGTGGAGTGGCGGCGCGAGAGCGGGAAGGAGCGGCGTCCATGCGAGAGGTGATGTGAACGGAGGTGAGGGGAGCGCTGGCTCAAGCCTGGCCCCGTTTACAGCAAGCCTGGCTAAGTGCCCATAAGTAGCTTGCTGGGGCCTGGTTTGGAGGCCTGTTTGGAGCCTGGACTTGGGGAAACCACGGAACCAAACATAAAAAATTAATTAACGGCTCACATCAGCACCTTATCTTACTTACAGCACCGGCCTTTTTTAAGCGCACATCGCGCGGGCGACAGTACGTGCTGACATCGTGGCAATACTATTCTTGAGGTATATTGGCATCATCTGCCTTTGCGTTGGTTGGTGTGGTTTCGGCGCGCGCCGCCTCCGCGTGACCCCTGCGCGGTGTACGATTACGACAACTCCAGCACGTCGTTGTCCCATCGTTTATTTCGGTCGGACCGGGCGCCAGGCGACGGGGCGAGCTTTCTATTTCCCGTCCGCAACGCCGAAGTACGTGAACGGACGCGGAAGAAAACGCCCGACCGACGGGTTGCGTGTGCCAGTTTGAGACGGGCCCCCGCTGCCCACTCTCCTTCCTGGTGGACCGACCGAGTGTGATGGTATTCTAATCATCGGCGACGAGTGCGTGCATCCGTGCCAGTGCGAATATAGCGGAGCTTTTAATTTCGTGCACATGTGTTGCAGCGGCACATTTTATCCGTTGCAGGGAGGGCAGGACGCACCGCGGTTTTGGAATTACACATGTGTTGCTGCTCTTGAGGCTGGATAGGTGAGGTAAGGTGTAGTAAGATCTGCAGATGAGATGCCCGCAGAGGGTGCAGGGTCGGGTGATCAATCGGTTCGGTACTTCGGCCAATCGATAAGGAGCACCGCCACGTTCGACAGCCAGTTGGGCCTAGTGCGCCGTGACAGGACATCTTCGACGTACAGTACCAGTACGTCCTCTTACCCAGAGCGGCGGCGCTGCAGCAGCCTGGCCCGGGTGTTTTGGCCGCCGTACGTGCCGGACCCGGACATGACGAGGTGCTTGTACGTCGACCCGCCACAAGGCTAGACCTAGTTGTGTCAGAATGACATGCACATTTTGCCCGTAGCAACGACCCTTCAATTTAGTTCCACGAAGAATTATAATTATATGTCCTTGTGATCTGGGGCAGTGAGAAGGCCGGCCGATCCGGATCCGATCCACTTGGGAATATTTTTGTCTTTGTCTTGCCACAACCACAACGAAGCCACGACTTAATTAACCGTGCAATATTCTAGGACCAAAGAGACTGGGGATCTTGTCTTGGAATACGACTCTATATACTGTACTGTATACGAGGGGCAGGCGACTTGCTGCATGCATGTACGGTGAGCCGATGGTGTAATTCCGTCACGACTTGCGTTGCGAGTAGTCAGGACAGGAAACGTGCTGGGGATTCACGGACGCGCCCCGCATCCGCATCCGCATCATGAGTCGTCCGTCTTTTGTAGCGCATCTTTTGCGTGGAATATTCCAAAGGATTCACGATGGGCCGGGGACGCGTCCGTGTGAGTGTGAGGTCCCCCCATGCATGGCGTTTCCTGTGCGGACAGCGGACGTGTGTTCGTCCTCGTCCTCCTCGGTGTCGATCGCCGATAAAGTTTCCATCCATGCATGGGCCATGGCGTCACCTAGGCGCGTGTGCCGGGGGCCCTGCAGGTCGACGTCGATCGCCGCAGTTGGAGGACGAAACGAGCGTGACCGACTCGTGGCGTCTGCATTCGAACCCCACCCACGCGCACGGAGAATTTTTTTTTTATTTTTAACATATTTTTTAAATTAATTTTAAAACTAACACTGTTTAATTTATTTTTTTTACACCTACAGCCCCGCGTCAGAGGGAGAGGTAGTCGCCGGCAGTCGATGAAGAGGCTATGGGCGCAGCCTCCAGCCCCGACGAAGCACTGCACCACCTCAGCCTCCTCGCCTGCAATGGGTCCCCGTGCCACACAAGCCTCCAAGTTTGCCCCCACCGACAACCACTCTGCAGCAGACCAAAGTGAAGCATGCCCGCTCCCCTAATCAATTCTATTTACATTTTTAGATGAACTTTTGTACTCGCATCTTTCAATCTCCACATTAACTGATATATTGAGTTCCCTAATGGGTTTTCCTCATCTCTCCACATTAACTGATATTGGGGTCCCAGCGTGCGTGCTATCATGCCTAATTTTGCATTGGGCTCATCTTGCATCCATCGGTACATACACAGATTATTTCTGGAGCTGGAGTTTGCTCTGTTTATCTTTGAGTGTCGGTGTGGTGGATTTCTCCTCCAAGCTGGGCAGTTTCCTATGGGTGATTGGCTGCAAGGATTATGTTACTTGGCTGCAGCAAGGTAACATAGGGCACTGCCTTACTTCTGGCGTGGGTTTATGGTAGTGGCTCGGAGGAATTTTTGTTCTTGCAAAATTCTTGACGAAAAGCAACTAAGATTGTTCTGAAAGTATGGGTGGTTCATGTTTCATTTATTTGCACAAATAAATTATTTTTAGGTTTAGCTGAAATACATTTTGGAACCATCTTGCAAACATTTACAAAAAAATGGTGGGTTCTTGCTCTGCATCATTGATATATCATATTCATTTTTCATTTCAGATGAGTTTGTATCACCTCTTTAAATTATCTTTATGACAGTTTGTCAAGTAAGCTAAGCATTACAGTCTAGAAGTGCCGAGCTTCCATTGACAAAAAAATATATATATCAGAAAGTTTCATTTAGTAACGTTATGTATAAATGGTTTGCTACATCAGAGAGGCTATATTTTGAGATTGCATACCAAATTGATGAGCCCACGTTGATGAATGTTTCTGAAAAAATCGATTCTCTATGAAGATGAATACCTGCAGAGTTTGTCAGGTTCTCATGTATGCTTTGTTGGAACGGCTGTTTCCAAACTTCTATCTTGGTCTTTATAAAAAAAGAATTCAGACATCATATCAGCACACATTGCAGAACACAATCGAGAATCACCACACGCTTTAGAACTTCCTGCTGGCTGTTGGTGACAAAAAATGAAGCCTTGTTGATAAAAGCCTCAGCATTCACTGCATCATCCTCCTAAAAAATGAAGAACTAAATGAGTTGTAACACCCTAAATTTTATAACATTTTTAAATAGGGGAAATTGCTGTGTTAAGCATTTTATGGGCATTTGAATTTAGGAAATAATAATTTTATTAGAAATAAAATCAAATATAGGTCAACAACCATGAATGTGCATTCATGCCGCTGCATGTTATTTTGAATTGCTTGGTTTGAAGTCGGATTTCGAATTGAGTTGAAATAGCATTTTGAGCTTGCTTTGAAGAAAAATTCGAAAAAGAAAAGAAATGACTTTCTCCTCCTCCTTCTTTTCGGCCCGAAGGCCTGTTTCGGCCATGGCCCATCTCTTTCCCGCGCCGGCCGCGCTCTTCACCGCTTGGGCCAGGGCATCTCTGCGGGCCGTTTTCCCCTGGCTTGGCCCAGCCAAGCTGAAGGCCCCGCGCCGCAGCCGAAGCCCAGCAACCCCAGCCCAGTCACGCGCCCAGCCGCAAGCCGCACTCGCGCAGGCGTTGTTCCCCGCCGCTGACCAGCCGGGCCCGCCGGTCAGGCTCTTCTTCCTCTTGCTCGTGACCGGCTCGGACACCATCTCCGTCGACGCCGTCGTGTCCAACCCTGCCACGCCTCGGTGCCGTGCTTCTCAAGTCATCCCGCGCCCCTTAAATAGCGGCCGCACCCCTCCTCTCTCCCCTATCTCATCTGGCGTTCGTTTTTCTTCGCCAAGCAGCCGCAGCCGAGCTTCGTTTCAGCGCCGCCGCCGACCACCGCTGTTCCTCAAGCACCGAGCCGCCGTTGCTGCTCCCCGCTCGCTTATTCCGGCTCGGGTGAGATTCCCTTTCCCTTCTCTCTCGTCCGGAGCTTTTGTTTCGTCGAATAGTGCACTGGAGGCCGTGAACCGAGAGCTCTAGATGGCCGGCCATGGCGCCGCCGTGTCTCCTGCCGCCGATGGCACTGTGCCGGCAGCTTCTTGATTTTTTTCGCCAGATTGATTTTCAGCCGTCGGTTTCTAATCCAACGGCTCAGATCTATAGATACCCCTTCGCTGCCTATCTTACAAATACGCCCTTATAAATATTCCAGATTCAAC